GTCATGCCGCACAACATCATCACAGGTCCAGCTTCCATCATCATCGTGCAAGTCATGTCGTACCGCACAGCACATACGGCATACGCTTCATCACCATCCTCAGACCACTCGCTGAACACGGTCAGGTCAACGACATCATCCTCATCATCGTGCAAAGGGATGACGGGCACACCATCGGGCACAACGAACTCAAGGCGATTCACCCTGCGATTGCTCGGTGCAGATGGCGCGGGCACAGTGCTTGAACCTGCCTCGGACAGTGCACCTGAACCCTGTGTGGAAGATTGTAGCTGATCAGTGATGTTTTTGTCATGTTTTGGATCAGCTTGTATAGGTTTGTTTTGCTTCGGAGTGATTGGGAATCCGTGTGATCCCATCCTCGATGGTTTATGCCTCGTTGATTTCCAAGGAAATCATACGAGTGTGTTTTTGCCCAATACGCTATTTAAAGTGAGTGTGCAGTGTGTAGGAACTTCGTTCTGAAGCTGAGTTTAAGCTCACAAGAGAGAATTCGTTTAGTTTGTGCACTTCGTGACTTTTGGCTCAAGTGGCTCTGACTGTGAAAAAGAGAGAGCTGTCCGCACTTGTGTGACAGCTCAGTGCTTTCAAGGTTTCAAGGGAAAAGGTACCAGAGGGACCTTCGGTTTTTCACGTGGTAGCGGAGCTTGTGCCTTGTGGTACGAGCCCGTGTATGGTCTTTGGTTGTCTGTCAGGACTCTGTGAGTGCCTGGAGGCAAGTTTGGGTTTGGAGCCCAGACTGCCAGTGGACCGGAATCTCTTGTACTCGGACCGTGTAAGTGAGTACCGGGAAGCCTACCCTGTGAGGAGGCGGATCCGGACTCATCAGGCTTGGAAGCAGTTGGTTCAGCGGCTGTTGAGGCACTTTGGAGCCCGGGCAAGGTGGTTTGTCTGGAACTGGATTGGTTGTGACCGATCTTGGAGGAATACGGTGCTTGGTAGAGGAATACGGTGCTTGGTAGAGTAGAACTAAGGTTCTTCAGGAGCCTGGACCATCTGGTGTTGGTGAGAGAATTTTCGCCAGAAGACGTTGTGGAGAGACTGCAGGCTGGAGCCTGAGTTCAGGAACTATGTTGAATACACCCCCACGACATACCAGTGGAGCTCATGTGAGGAGTCCAAGAGGTGGACGAGAGCGTGGAAGCTCTGTGCCCATCATGGATGCTGAGACAAAGCGAAGGGTAGACCCTTTTCCGGGTTTGGGAAATCCCAACCCACTGTGGGTGCAAGGTTTGGCACAAGGAAGCCAACCTGTGTATGGCCCAGTGCCCAGAGGTCGAACTCCCGCCAGAAGCCCTCATGGGGTAGCTACTGGAGCACCCCAACAGACAATGGGAGGCCCTTCGTTTCCCCCTGCTTTGCCTCAGCAAGCGGTAGGAAGTCCTTCGTTACCACCAGGACTATCCACTGGACCTCCTCAACCTGTGGTGACACCATCACAAACATCACCCGACGTGCAAGGGTTGACGAGACAAGTGCGAGAATTGGAAAGCATGATGCAGCAACTGGTTGTGCAGCAACAGCAGTTTATGCAAACGATGACTTCGTCCATGGTGCAGCAACAGCAGCAGCATCAGCAGTGGATGATACAGCAGCATCAGCAACAGCAGCCACAGCAACAGCAACAGGTGAATCCCCCCTTACCTCAGGATGGTGTTCCTGAGAACATGCCCAGTTCTTCTTCGGGATGTCAAGGTGCATCGCCAGTGGGTACTCCTGCGAAGGGGACCCAGCTTTTTCGGATGGCGAGCCCAAGTCCCCCACTGAGACCTCCACCTCTGGAGCAAGAAAGGGAAAGGGATGTGTTTGCTCGATCGGACAAATGGTTGCCCAGTTTGCCGACCATTGACTTTTCGTCTTGGAAGGATCGCATCTCTGAAGCTCTTGGATTCTTGACCTGGATGGAGAAGCTGACCAGTGGGGTTGGTTTGGGTTCAGAAGTGTTTCCCAATGAGCTCATGCATGCGGTGAAGACTCAAGAAGAGTCTCGGCTGAAACAGGATCGACTTACTGTGGAGCAACAGGAGAGGTCGACGAGGCTGATGCACATCCTGCGACAGACTTTTGCAAATCATGAGAAGAGTTCTCTGATTTTGCAGACATATGTTGAAAGTGAGAGCACTTATCAACAATATGGTTTTGTGGCTTTGAGATTGCTGGCGAAGGAGTTTTGCCTGAAGTCGCGAGCTGAATGCCTGTTCTTTCGGTCGCAGCTGGTGAATCAAACCGTTAAAGCACCCAGTATTCCGGAGATCATTCGAAAGATTGAGCATGAGTTGAACAAGTACACCAAGCTGCTCAATAGTCTTGATCCCGATGTGCATGCTGGTGGTTTGCAGATCCAAGAAGCGGATTCGGTTATGGTTTTGCTGCGCAGTTTGCCAGATCGGTGTAGAAGCCATTTCTTGTTGCATGGCGATAGTGAATCGTTTGAAGATCTGAAAAGAGTTGCTCTGAAGTTTGAGGTGCAACAAAGGGTGTGGTCAGAAGCCCCTGGCACGAAGCTTCAACCTTTTCGAGATCCCAATGAGGGAAAGGGCAACGAAGGAAAACAAAAAGGCAAAGGAAAGGAACAGAAAGGCAAGCGCGAATCAAGCAAAGGTGCTGGCAAACGAGCTTCAAGCCAGAACAAGAAGGATGTGGAGTGCTATGTGTGTGGTGGAAAGGGACATTATGCCCGCGATTGCTGGTATAAGGAGGGAGATTTAGGCAAGAAGCCCAATTCCCCCAATGCTAAGGCGAAAGCCAAGGCAAAAGGAGATCCCAAGAAGAAGCCCGAAAGCCCAAAGGAAAAGGCAAAGGAAAGGGGAAGACAGTTGCTGAAGTTTCCCAAGAGGGTGAGTCGAGTGACTACCAGCTAACTGGAGGTGAATGGAATGAACCTGAGTCAGAGGCCCGAGTGGAATCTGTGTTGCAACCTCTGGAAGAATTGCTCGATGAAGTGAGAAAAGAGTGGATTCCCCGGAGTACTGATGAGATAGATTGGTCATGGGAAGTTGAGACGAGAGTCCGGATTGCCGAGTTGGAGCATCGGATCTCTACCGATTTATATCAGATGTTGCCATCTAAGTCAGTTCGGTCTTTGATGAAACCTCCGATGAATCAAGTCAAAAGCATGGAAAAGGATGATGCAAGCAAATGGTGGTTGATTGACTCAGGAGCATCGGTGACTGTGATTGCGAAAAGATACTTGGATGAGTTCCAGATCTTGGATCGGAAGGCGTTGGGACCTAATGAGAGGTACTCAGCAGCCAACGATGCCCCGGTGAATGTCTTCGAGCGAGTTCGCATCCGAGCCTTGCTGCCTATGTATGAAGGAAAGCAGTATCTTGGTTTGACATCGGTGTGTGTGACTGGAGTTGTAGCAGATGTGGCTCACAACATCTTGAGCACCGAGCAGATGGTGAATACTGGTTGGGAAGTGAAGTTCACTCGAAGAGAGATTTCGCTGCGACACGAGAAGAAAGGAGTCATGGGATATGGAGTATCCTGGGCTGGATGTCCTTGGATCTACCTGCAAGGTGATGCTGGAAAGCGAAAGAAAGTAACCTTTGGAGGAGGTTGATCAGATGCAGTCAGTGCAGTCAATGACCAAGAAAAAGCAAGAAGAAATGGAGCTGCATCGGATGCGAGGCCACATTCCTTTTTCGTCCGAATGTCCTCATTGTCGGATGACAAGAGGAACAACCCAGCATCGTCGGACCAAGGATGCTCAAGACCGACCCGTGGCGTTGCAAGCAGATTTCTGCTTCATCAACCTGGTAACTGGTACTTTTGCGAAAGACCAGCCGACGGCTCCCAACATGAAAGTACTGGTCATGACTGAAATGTCAACCAGAATGATTGGATGTCTGTTGGTAGGGACCAATGCTGACAATACCTCCAGCTGGATTCGTTATTGGATGAATGCTTTCGGACTGGACATTGGAATGCTTTCGGACTGGACATTGCAGGGTCTGCTGTACTGTTGAGGACAGACAGCGAGACAGCGGTGAGCGCCCTCATCAAGAGAGCCAATCTGGGGATTAGGATTGTGACCCAAAGAGCACCTCCGCAGGGACATGAAGCGGTTGGTGGTGTGGAAAGGGCAGTGAGAACACTCAAGGAGGTGTTCAGCACGGTGAGGTTGGATCTACGAGCGCAGGGCTTTGACTTGAAGAGAAGTCCTCGAGCGTTTGAG